TGCTGCACAAGGGTAAGACCGTGGTGTAACGCGCGTAGTCGTCAACAACCAGCAGAATGTTGCGCTCGCGGCCCTGTCCACTGACGCAGGCTGGGCCCCACACGTCCATGTGGAGAGTCTGCAGGGGAGCAGTCGTCGGGGGAAACGAGGAGGAGTGAGGAGCGGCGGGCTGCTGCCCCTCAATGCAAGGAAGGCAGGGCAGGGCAGGCGAGGGCGGGAGGGGAGGGAGAGACCTGGGAAGACTAGAAACAAGGAGGCGGGAGCGCATGCCACGAAGGCGTGGCAGGGAGGGGGGACCAAGGCGGTGGTGCCACAGGAGAGTCTGGTGCGACAGGAGGCGACATGAGCAGGGGGGTGCTACCTAACCTGACGCGGACACCTGAGCAGACGCAGCTACCTGAGGAGGCTCAGTATTCAGTGTGTACAGACTCGACCCAGGCCGACGGGTGAACGTGGCCAGGTGACGCCCCGTCCGTGTACACGTGCAGATTGATACATGCTGACCCCCAGGAGTGGTGGTAGTGACCATCGCATCCTGGAGGGCAGCGGTACTCACCAAGTTCGTAGAGAACGAGGGGAGGTGAAGACCTGACAGTGAGCCGGACGGAACCGCCGAACACGGGAGAACAGTGGAGGAACGGGCAAGAATTCGGCCCCCTGAGGGGTCAGCCATTTTGACTGGAACAGGTGCAGAGAGTGGAGTGAGGGTGGTAGTGTCGCGAAAGAAACAACGGGAAGCACCTGAGTCAAGTGTGAAGGTGTGCAAGGCCTCAGCCGGCGCAGTACCAGGGAGAGCAGACTCACTAGCATCTAGAGCAGCAGCCTCTATACCTGGGTCGGGTGCCCCACACAGGTAACAGTCACCCTCAGCACTAGCAGACAAAGCATACCTGGCAGCAAGGTTAGCATCATAGTCAAGAGCAAAGATATCAACTCCAGACCTAAGCAGCTCTGCCCAGCGGGGGCACTCAGCCTCGTCACCAAACTCTGCGCGCCAAGCGTCGTCTAGGCGGGAAAAGCAGCGGTGCTGAGAGTGAGGCTTCCCGGTTGTCTGACCAGCACAGTCACCCGTGCGAATGACATACGAGCAGCGAACACTACCCCCAGACGCCCCACGCTGAGCAAACCACTCACGAAGGTGCTGGGGAGAAGGGGTCTCACTCCGACGCTGCTGCTGCTGCCTCTGGCCACCGCCAGAACCTCCCCTCGGAACATCTCCAACCCGACTGCCACCACTCCCACTGCTGCCACTACCGCCACCCCCACCGCTTCCACCGCCGCTGCCACCAAAGCCCCTACTCCCGCCACCACTCCCACCGCTGCCACCACCTCCACTACCTCCACCACCTCCACCGCCGCCCCCACTACCACCCCAACTGCCACCGTCACCACTCCTGGCACCCTTGCCCTTGCTGCTGCGGCGCTTCCCACTAAGAGCAGAAGTAGCCCCGACATCCGCAGCACCACGGATGTCAACAGCAGCAGTAGAGGCGTAGGAGGGGGCAAGGGGGGAGGGGGAACACCCCTCAAAGAAGGGTGTGCGAGGAGTGCCACGAGTGGCACCTACAACAACTACGCCAGTCTCAGCTGCAAGGAGGTGCTGCTCGAGCAGGTCAACAGTGAGGTCTGTGGGGTCAAGTGCGAGAAAGTGGTCCCTGACAGCGCGAAGAGAGCCAGGGAGGCGGGTGACTATGAAGTAGAGAGTGATGTACATCGGGGGCGGGTTCCTGTCAAGGAACTCTGCTGGGAGGGCAGCGCGGTAGCGAGCGTCGCTATTGCGAAGGTGGAAAACGAGGTCCTCTACCGTGGCAAAGGCGGACAGCTCGGGAAACAGGTAGGGCAGTAGAAGACGGCCTAGAGCAGAAGTGGCAGGGGAGGAGTAACCAGCGACTACAGCGTCGTACAGTGCTTTAGCAGTCTTGTGCTGTCGGAAGTGAGCGCGTTCGGCTAATGGAAGGTGGTTGCGAACGGCTAAGCGACCAGCAGCGTCACGGGTAAGCCACTGTGAGCGAGTCACACTGTCAGCTGTGGCGGGAGGGGCGAGAGAGGCTCCAGACGTGTGGTCAAACAACGAAACGCTGACTCTGGAGTCACTCAGTAGGTACAGTTGTAAGTCGTCGAGCCACGTGTCAAACTGGATCGGACGGTCCTCATGGTCGAAGGTGAGAACACTAAGAGAAGCCATAGCAGGCAGAGCAGGGTGGCGCGCTACTAGCAGAGCAGCGCGCAGAGCAAGGCAGGGCGGCGCACGCCTAGGGCGCCCAGCGGGGCGGCACACAGCAGGGGCGGCTGCAGGGGCAGGTGGTAGCCGGGCGGCGCAGGCAGCAAAAGGGCGGCGAGTGGGCTACCAGAGGACGGCGAGCGGGCTGCAAGGGGGGAGCGAGCGGGCTGCCAGAGGGCGGCGAGCGGGCTGGAAGGGGCGGCGAGCGGGCCACAAGGGGCGGCGAGCGGGCTGCAAGGGGCAGCGCACAGGCTGCAAGAGGGCAGCGCGCGGGCTGCTAGGGGCGGCGAGCGGGCCGCAAGCGGGTGGCGAGCAGGCTGCAGGGGCGGCGAGCGGGCCGCAAGCGGGAGGCGAGCGGGCGGCAAGGGCGGCGAGCGGGCCGCAGGCGGGCGGCTAGCGGGCTGCAGGGGCGGCTCGTGGGCCGCAAGCGAGCGGCGAGCGGGCTGCAGGGGCGGCTAGCGGGCCGTAAGTGCGGCGAGCGGGCCGCAAGGGCGGCGAGCGGGCCGCAAGCGGGCGGTGAGCGGGCGGCAATGGCGGCGCACGGGCTAAAGGGGCGGCACGACGGCTGCAGGGGCGGCTCGCGGGCTGCTAAGGGCGGCATGACGGGCTGCTAGGGGCGGCTCAGCGACTAGCAGGGCGGCGGGCCGTTAGGGTAGGGCTGCAGGGCAGCTAGTGGGGCAGCTATGTGGTGGGCCCTAAAAAAAAAAAATCGGTCCTAGGGAAGGACCAGCTCTGAAACCATGTTAGAATCTAGAACGAGAATGAATGCATTGAAGAGAAGTTGGGTACAAGTACTAACCCTAATTGGGTTGTACCGCTTATGGGCTACCCCACTAAAGCCTACACAATGTAAGCACTATAGCATTCTGACACTAATTTCTTGCTTGGTAGTGTACCCCTTTTCCTCCCCTATTTGTACTTCACTCTCTATAGTGAAACTCCTCTTTCTTGCTCCAATTCTCTCGATATTCATGCCTGGCCTAAACCCTAGGATGGCTCCTAGTCTCACCCTCTAGCTACTATTCTGATATGGTTTCAGAGCTGGTTCCATCCTGGAACCTTCCTGTAATTTTAAGAGATATGGACCCACACGCACGCGGCCTGTTTTGCCCTGCGTCCTCGCGCCCGCAGCGCCTGCCCGTCCCATCTCGTCGCGCCAGTGGTGCCTGCCCGTCACGTCGAGTCGCGCCCGAAGCGCCCGCCCGTCCCGTCCCGTCGTTCCTGTTGCGCTCGCCCGTCCCGTCCCATCGCGCCTGCTGCACCTGCTCGCCCCGTCCCGTGCGCTGCCCCTTCGCCCCGCCGCTGGTCGTGAACTCCAGCGGCGCACGTCGCTGGCGCCAGCACCTTCTATAGCGGGGGGGGGGGGGGGGGGGGGGGAGATGAGTGGGTGACAGGCTATGGGAGGAGATGCAGTGAGGGGGTGGTGAGCGAGATGCTGTCAAGCCAGCAGCCGCCCCTCCTCTCTTTCTCACTGTCGAACGTGCAACTGTGGGTGGGAGGGTAAGAGAGAGTGGCGGACGAAGCAGCCACGCATATGCAGCTGCTGCCCTCTTCTACCGTGGCACCTCCTGCTGCAGCCCCTGTCGCCACCTTCGTTTGTCTCGTCTCTCTGCTGCTGTTGAGCGGCAGGTGCTGTCGCTGAGCCCTGCGTTGCCGCCACCCTTTCTCGCCGCACGCACCTGCTCTCCAGGCTACCTGCGCCACATGCACCTACTGTTGTCTGTTTCTCTCTTGCCTCAGGGCTTACTGCAGCTGTATCTGCCACTACTGGACTAGTTGTCACTGCTCTTGCGTGCTGCTGCTTTGTTGTGCTTGGTGTACCCTTGCAGGTTGTGTCTTGCACTTGGCTATTCCTTCATGCAGTTAAGGGGGGATGTCAGAATTATATTGTTATAATTGCATGTAGTTCTAGCTGTAGTGTAGTTATCCTAATTTCCTGCTTGGTGGTGTACCCCCTTTCCTCCCCTATTTGTACTTTACTCTTTATAGTGAAACTCCTCTTTCTTGCTCCAATTCTCTCGATAGTCATGCCTACCCTAAACCCTAGGATGGCTCCTAGTCTCACCCTCTAGCTACTATTCTGACAAATAGGCTAACGAAGCATCCAGAATTCACCTTTTACTTGGTAGGTACTTACTTCTTCCAATGGGTCTTTATTTTAGACACTACACAAGAGAGAAATTTTCGAGCCTTTTACATGTCCATGCCACATAGCGCAGTGTTAAACTTTTATATCTGCATCTTCTGATTGTATATATGAAAGTTCTCGTTTTGTTTTTATGGATGTTTTAATAATACCAGCTGTCATGTTACAGTTTTGTGGGCAAAACAAGTTTCCCTAATAAGAGCATGTTCATGTGTACACCTCAGTGGCATTTGATTTTCTGGTTACCATCACTTCACGAATTTCAGGGGCCTATCATATCACCCAGTGAACAATCCGACTTCGCGACAGAAATCAATGAGGGCGTTGCGCTGAAGTAGGCAGCCAACCAGTTTGCTGCGAGAACGATGGGTCTTATCCACGATTGGCTGATTCAGATACGCCTTGAGTTTTGGATATCGCTCGTTCGCCAGTCGCTGGTTCCCCCCACCTTCCCCGTGGGAATTGCGTCTCTCAACCAAGCGCGGGGAACACAGGTGGAACATCCTGGCGGAAGGGGTGGAGGAGCTGAAGTACCATCCCAGCAATCGCTAGACTGCTGACTGCAGAGGAACCTGTTTCCAAGCCACCTCCTTCAGTTCGCCAACCTAAGACGTAGCCATGGCTTCCGTCACCATGCAGGCTGCCTCCGTCGTGGCTAGGTCCACTTTCCTTGGCGCGGGTTCCTCGCGCCTCGCCAGGTCGACCCGTGTTAACGCACAGCCGACCTCCATCTCCGCCCTGAAGATTGAGGCTAAGGGCAACTGGCTCCCTGGGTCCACCTCCCCGGCGTGGCTCGATGGCAGGTAAATGCTGCTCGATCCATTGACCCGCCCTAACATTTCAGCCTCATTACTACCGTGTAATAACTACCAGTGTCCTACGTAGGCGACTAATGCCTTCGCTTCTCTTTCTCATGATTCCAGCCTTCCCGGCGACAACGGCTTCGATCCCCTTGCCCTGGCTGAGGATCCCGAGAACCTCAAGTGGTACGTCCAGGCCGAGCTCCAGAACGGCCGCTGGGCCATGCTCGGTGTTGCCGGCATGATCATCCCCGAGGCTCTGACCTCCGCTGGGCTCCTGAACGTGCCAGTGTGGTACGACACTGGTGTCGCCGAGTTCTGGTGCCCCACTCCCACCCTGTTCGCGATCGAGTTCATCCTGTTCAACTTTGTGGAGCTTCTGAGGTGGCAAGACATCAAGAAGCCCGGAAGCGTGAGCACCGACCCGTTCGGCAACACTCTCGCCCCTGGTGAAGTTGGTTACCCCGGTTTCAACCCCATGGGTATGGGAACCGACTTCCGCAGCAAGGAGAGCGAGCTGGCTAACGGTGAGCACCACTACACCGCTTCAGTTTATTGCGATACAGTAACGCCCACTTAGATCAATACTCTATGTTTGTCCGACTAATTCACTTGTGCATTTATGTTTTCAGGCCGTACCGCCATGATCGCGTTCTTGGGTTTCATCGTCCAGTCGCACATCACTGGTGCCGGTCCCTTTGCCAACCTGGCTGCCCATCTTGCCGACCCATGGAACACGACCGTCTTCCAGAGCCTGGACAAGTTCCTGTCTTAAGCTGTATATCTTGATAACGTATTGAAAATTTGATTCAGCAAACATAAATACATGAATCATTGCGTAAGCACGGTATTTGTATATCTTAGGAGGTAATTTTGTTAGATTCTGTGGGCTAAAGACATCCAGTTCAAAAGCAAGTCACACTAAGCCCTTGAATTGGTAGCCAGGACGCTCAGTACTGCCGCTAGTGAAGCACTAGTGGGGTGAATGTTGCATGAACCCGTTACTGGTGACTTTACCCATCCAGCAGCACATAGGGAACAATCGTCACCAACATGACCTGGTGTGGTTGGCACACATGGCAGGCAAGACACAATAAATTGCATGGGAGGTTTTTTAACCCAAAAGACCTCTAGACCAGCACCAGGTGTTGGTAAATTGCCAGAAACATACTCCGCTTTGTTTATGCATGCGGCATTCATATCTCCATACATACCCCAGTTGCAGTCACATGTGCCTGTGAAGTCGAGGCACCGACCAAACCCAGAGCATGCAGTGTTTCTCCCATGGCCATCATCAGGAGCTGGACACGCCAGCGAAACAAATGGGCAGTCTTCTGGGCAGCAAGAAGACTCAGCAGCACTGCTTTCAGAAGTCTCGTTCGGAGGATAGAAATTGCCCGGAAATGCAGAATCCATACTGGACTGGGAGCACCGCTCTCCAGTTTCACAGATGTTGTTCCCACAGATGCCAAGGCGGGTTGATGAGAGCAGCGACGTGAAGGAAGCACCAGGAACGCCCTGATGGATAGAACGCGAAGGCACACCATGGATGGTTCATGCTGAGATAGGGTAATGCTCCAAGGGCAAGAATAGTGGGTGCCGCTGCGTGGTTGCAGTACAGACTCCACGCGGGAAAATGCTAGCTCAGGGTGCATTCTACAAAGACCTCTCCTCAATTCAGCACAGTGTGCAGGCAAAAGAGTACATGCTGTGAAGCAAGGATGATAGCAGCAGGTGGCATTGGGCAGAATGGTGGGAAAAGGCTGGAAGGGGGGATCACCAGGAATGGCTTGGTTGGGGGTTGCATGCTGTCCTGCGCATACTGCACCAGGGCCTCCCGGAAGCTGGTCTCTGCCATGCGGGGAGTCGTGGATCCCACCTGCACCACAGCACAGCACCCATTCACGCCCATCGCCCACCCCAACAAACAAGTTGGTTTGAAAATCCCCAAAACCAATTTGTCTGACTTGGGGGCCATGGGCCCCACCTGCAACACATCACCCGTCCATGCTCACTCCAATGTGCAAAGCCACCAAATTTTCCAGCGTTTTCACCTCCCCCCGAGAAAACGTCCTCACTCCATCCACCCAACTTCACCCCACGGTAGGTAAAGGCAGGCAGACACTGTGCATGCACACAGGCCAGCAACAGCGACCACAACAAAGACAGCAGCAGCAGCAGCAGCAGCAACAATAACAGCAGCAGCTGCAGCAGCAACGACAGCAGCAGCAGCAGCAGCAGCAGCAGCAGCAGCAGCAGCAGCAGCAGCAGCAGCAGCAGCAGCAGCAGCAGCAGCAGCAGCAGCAGCAGCAGCAGCAGCAGCAGCAGCAGCAGCAGCAGCAGCAGCAGCAGCAGCAGCAACAACAACAACGACAGCAGCACGTACGGCCAGGGGCAGAGCAACAAACTGCACTGAAACGCCTCTGGGGCTGTCTGTGTCATCCAGCTGCCCACACCCCCCCTCCGACTCCCACGCATGGTCTGATTGCTCCGTCCCGGACCTCTGCTGCCCAGCCTGAGAGTTAGGTTCGGTGGCTGAAGAGAGCTGGTTTGGAACCGAAGCTCCTGGGAGGTCTGGCAGGCATGGGGCTGGTGTGATTGAGAGGAAGGAGATGGCTTGTGGCAGCACGTCCAGGATCTCAGCCATCTGATGGAGTGCGAGAGAGAGAGAGAAAGAGGGTTGCGAAGGGAGAAGGATGAAGGGGCCGAATGGTAACATGAGTGTCAGGAAGAGTATGTGATGTGCGGCGATGCATCCATGCAGTGATGTGTGACAAACAGCAGCACGTCAGGTGTGGCCTTTCTCTAGAGCATGGCATGTGCTACGTACCCCACTGGTGAAGGCAGAAGCAAAGGTGCTGAAGTGATGGTTGCTGGTGCTGCCTGCACTGTCACCTGCACTAGTATTGCCTGTATCACCATCTGTGCTGGTGTCGAGAGAGAAGGATTCAGTGAAGCTGGAATTCCCAGTGCTGGAGGCAAGCTCGAGAGCATGAGAGGCCACTGAATGTGAAAACGGTACCTGCGAATGGAGAAGGCGAGGACAGGAAAACAGGAACAGAGTGAGACAGGTGGGGAACGGGGGATGGGCGGGGATGGGCGCATGAGTGTGAGTACACATGACACACTATGGGCATGATGCAGGCACGATACAGCATGATGCGAGCTGATGAATTGTAGACCACCCCCAATGCAGGTGTCCGATGTGTGCACATGCCCGAACGGCCAGTGTCCAGGAGAGCATTCTTGAGGCGCCCCAACAGTGTTACCCGTTACAACCTGAACGAGCACATACCCGCATGGAAACTGTGGCGAGGAGCGCGCAAGAGGTGCCGTCCCCATCGCATCGCCCACACGCATCGAGGCGGGCCGAGGGGCAGCACACGCCCATGTCATCCCTCAGGCCCGACACACAGCAATTGCCGGTGATGTCCACGGCGCTGGGTGAGAGGAGAATGAAGGGGGAATGAGGAGGAATGGAAGAGGGAACTCGGAAGGAGACAAGGGGAGGAAGAGAGCAGGTTTAGAGGCGGGCAGAAGGGCAGCACACCCCCATCTCGTCCATCAGGCCCGACGTGCAGAAACTGCCGGTTATGTCCACCGCACTAGATTCAAGGGAGAAGGAAGGAACAATGGGGAAAATGGGAGGGAAGAAAAGGGCCCTCGACGCACATGCGGCTGGTCTGTCAGATGAACAGCACACCTCCATCGCACCCCTCGAGCCTGATAATTTGTCAAGGGCGCCTAAAAAAAGGGATGGCTCACCCCCCCATCTCGCCGGCCGAGCCTGATCTGCAACAACAGCGTGTATGCCCACGTGAGGGAGAATGGAAAGAGGGGAGGTAGGGATGGAAAGAGGGAGAAAAGAGGGGAGGCAGGGATGGAAAGAGGGGAGGCAGGGATGGAAAGAGGGGAGGTAGGGATGGAGAATAGCAGCTATCGTTCATCTCACCTCGCCTTCCTCCCATTCCCTCTTTCACCCCAATACCTGCCATCGTCATCACCAGAACATCACTCGCCCACCCTTACCTGCCATCCCCATCGCTCTCCCACCCTTACCTGCCATCCCCATCGCTCTCCCACCCTTACCTGCCATCCCCATTGCAGGCTCCACATGCGTCCACTCGACCACTCTCACAGCACGCTCCGTTCTGCACCCACACAGGCACACAGGCACACAGGCACACAGGCAGAGAGGCGGACAGGCACACAGGCACACAGGCAGACAGGCAGACAGGCAGAGAGGCGGACAGGCAGAGAGGGAAGAAGCAGCCATTCAAACAGGTAGGAAGGGCGTTTAGGCGTGCATGGGTGAGTCTAAAAGGAAGCAGCATGAGATCATGTGTATGTGAGCATCATGCGCCGGCAGCATTAAAAGAAAACGGGCACACTGAGGGTTGCCAAGGAGAAAGAGCAGGGGCAGTGCCAGTGGCAACAGCAGTGGTAGAGGCAGTGGCAGTGGCAGGAGCAGGAGCAAGAGCAAGAGCAAGAGCAAGAGCAAGAGTAAGAGCAAGAGCAAGAGCAGACCTGGTCAAGGCGGGCAGAGGCAGAGAGGCAGCACCACCCCCAGCGATCCACTAGAAAAGCTGGACAGCACAAGACGTGCACTGAAACATCCATATTCACACTGCTGCTACTGCTGCTTCTGAGGGTGAGGGTGCTGGTGCTGTTGATGGGGGTGCTAGTGCTGTTGCGACCACTACTGTGTAATCCCAGCCCACTTGGGAGGTCAACAGCTACTGCTGCAGCAGCAGTATCAGCGGCAGAAGCAGCAGAAGCAGAAGCAGCACTTTGCGTGTGGGCAGGCGTGGGAGAGAGCATGAGTCCCACGGGCCTGCCTCCACAGGGATGAAGCTCGCTGCACTGAGCGCCCGTCCATCCCTCCATGCACACACATGCTCCCACCTGCATGCATGGAGGGAGGGTGGTTGTGGGGAGGGAGGGAGCAGGAACCGGGGGAGTTTGAGATCTGAGGCGTTTCAGATACAGGGCTGCGAGCAGTGCAGTGATGCCAAGCAGCCCATGTCAGGTCACCCAAAAACCATTTTGCCATTTTGTTGCGGCTGTTTTTTTACAAAATACAGGGCTGCGAGCAGCGCAATGATGCCAAACAGCCTATCTGGGGTCATCTGAACATGAGAGCACAAAAAGTGACATGGCTCACGTGGCAATAGCCTGCTGTTGTTAAGGCGCCTCAGATACAGATTGTAAGTGCTGTTGTTAAGGCGCCTCAGATACAGATTGTAAGTGCTGTTGTTAAGGCGCCTCAGATACAGATTGTTAAGGCGCCTCAGATACAGATTGTTAAGGCGCCTCAGATACAGATTGTTAAGGCGCCTCAGATACAGATTGTTAAGGTGCCTCAGATACAGCTTGTAAGTGCTGTGCTCACCTTGCAACACACGACCCAGCTCACCTGACAAGTGCCGTGTATGCATGAGAGGGTGGGGCAGAGGAGGGAAGAGCTGCTGCTGCTGCTGTTGCTGTTGCGGCTGCTGCGGCTGTGCCTGCTGTGTCTGCGGTGCTTGCTGTTCCTGCCGTGCCTGCTTTTCCTGCTGTGGCTTTTCCGGCTGCTATGGCTGTTGCGGCTGCTGTGGCTGTTTCGGCTTCTGTGGCTGTTTCGGCTGCTGTGGCTGCTGCTGCTGCGGCTAATTGGTCTGATGGTGGCGGTAACAGTTGCATTACTGGGAGCGATGCCAGTGGTAATATTGGGAGCGTTGGTGGAGGCAGAGGGTGAAACGGAAGGGGAGGAGGTAGCATCAGAGGTGGTGGAGGGGAGTGGAGGAGGTGGGAGGCAGGGAGAGAACGTAGCAGGCTTGATTGAGGCGGAGCAGAACGAGTCTTGGACTGATTGGCCTCTCATGCTCGCACACTGCGAGACAGACAAAGGAGAGGGAGGGAGAACAATGGGAGGGAGGGAGCAGGGCGCGAGGGAGGAGGGAGCAAGGGAGAAGGGAGCGAGGAAAAATGACGGGAAAGGGAAGGAGACGAACGGCAAGGGGAAATAGAAAGGTTGGGGGGGGTTGGGAGGGAATGGAAAGAGTGAAACTCTGCAAGCAGCTTTTTCAGGTTGTAGCTCTCGGTGCGGAAATAAATCTGGCATGCACTGTGATGAGGATATTTAGTCGACAAAAAATCGGCTCATTACACGTGTGTGGAAATAAACCTGGCATGCACTGTGATGAAGGCATGATGGGCAGAGAGCAGTGGCTTGGCACACAGCAAAGGGCGGCTTAACATACCTTAATATCCCTTCTTCTCCATCCGTACACCCGCATCACCTCCTCCTCCACCACGCTCCACCCCATTCCATTACTGCTGTTATCCTGATTGCTGCTGCTGTTAGTGCTGGTGCTGCTTCTCCTACTGCTGCTGCTGCTGCTGCTGCTGCTGCTGCTGCTGCTGCTGCTTCTGCTGCTGCTGCTGTTGTTGCTGCTGTTGCTGTTGCTTCTGCTGTTGCTGCTGTTGCTGCTGCTGTTGTGTGTCATCTCAGCAGGTGCATCTGACAGGAGGGTCAGGGAGTACTGGCAGGGAGACCAGCCGCTGGGCCTCCAGGTATAGATGGAGCACGGCTGGTGGGGCAGGGGAAGGGAAGAGCAGACAGTAAGAGAGAGATTTGAGTGGGTTTGGATGAGAATGGAGTGGCAGGGAGAGCAGCTGTGAGGATGTGAAGCTGTGAGCTCTTAGACTGTGAGGTGTGTGGGTGCGAGTCTCTTAAGAGTGATGCGCATCTGAGATCGCACCTGAGTGTTGCACGACTGGTTGGTGGGAGGGGGAGCGGAGGGGCAGCGGGAATCGTCGAGCATGTTGCCCTGCACGGCGTCTCGACACACCACTGACCGCACGTTCACTCCCCCTCCACACGGCACGTTGCAGCCCTGGTGAGGGGAAGGGCGAGGGGAGAGGGGAGTAGGGGCGGAGGGGCAGCGGGAGTCGTCGAGCATGTTGCCCTGCACGGCGTCTCGACGCACCACCGACCGCACGTTCACACCCCCTCCACACGGCACATTGCAGCCCTGGCGAGGGGAAGAATGGTGAGAGGTTCGAACAGGGTGAGGAATTTGAACGTGGCGGGGAGTTTGAACGGGGTGAGGGGTGTAAGAACGGCAAGAGTGTCGCGGCACACAAGTGACAGCATGTTCACACCCCCACCGCAAGACACAATGCAGCCCTGGCGAAGGGAGGATGGGAGAAGAGGAGGAAGGTGGACGGAGAGAGTAGGGAGAAACGGGGAAAAAGGTCAGGAGGGGGAGCTTGACTGGGATCTGTGGATGCATCAAAGCACCGCTCTCCTCCACGTTGGTGCCCCCTCCAAACCAAACTGCACACTGCGACTGTGGTAAGGGTCGAGAAAAGTATGGGTGGAGAGGGTGGAGTCAGAAATAGGAAAGGAGCAACAGAGCATGAGAGAGAGAGCGAGTGAGTGAGGAGGGAGATCGACTATGAGCGAGACAAAGATATAGAGTGGGGAAGAAGGCATAGGACATACTACTGAGCCCCACCCCCAATTCTGAGATTCTCAAAGCTGACTCAATCACAAACGGACACACCTGCCATTGCGTGACGTCCCAGTAACCGCGTGTGCAGGGTGCCAGCTGGCATGGCTGGGTGGTGGGCACTGCAGGGAGCAGCGGACAGCTGGCGAGAGGTGATTGGGCCGTCATCCCCTGGGCGTCTACGCACCACGCCATTCTGATTGGGGCGAGACAGAGGGGTTTGCATGAGAAGGGAGGGCGATTGGCAGGGAAGTGGGAAAACAGGGTGGTGTGGAGGAAGTGAAGGGTGCTGATAGAGACGTATGCAGAGATGGGTGGAGGAGGTGACGAAGATGCTAGTGACAGACAGCAGTGAGCAGCAGAGACGCAGGAGAGGAAGCTTGAGGTGGAATGGTGATTGCTTGCACGGGACATTAACGGCTCGTTTATCGCCACCCCAGGCATGCCACCCCATGCCATGCCCTCCCATCCCCACGCCTACCTCTGCTGCTGCCACACACCACATGACACGAAGCACTCTCCCCAGGGGCCAGTCAGCACATGGTGAGGTGGTGAGCTGCACCCAGACCCATCACGCGCCCACACACCCTGCCACGTCACCCCATGCCATGCCATCCCAACCGCACCCCACACCCACGCTTACCTCTGCTGCTGCCCCACACCGCACGACACGGAGCACTCTCCCCAGGGCCCAGTCAGCACGTGGTGAGGGCCTTTAGTGTCAGCGCCCGCTCCCTCATCATGCGCCCCTAGTCCAGGGCCTCTGGCGGAGTCGAACGGCAGGGGGGTACTGCCATTCATGTATATAAAGCGGGGTGGGTGTGTGAGGTGGTGCAGTGAAGCGAAGGAGAAAGAGGGAGCCATAGCATGGGCAGCATTGCCACCTTGTTTAGCATTGCCAGCATCAGACTTGGAAGAAGTAGTGTGGGAGGAGGAATGGTGGGAGGAGGAATGGTGGGAGGAGGTGGGGTGGATGGGCAGAGGGAGGAGCGGGTGGTGCTGGTGGTGTTGCTGTGAATCCACAGGCACGGACTGCAGAGAGGTGAGCGCATTTGCGCTAACTGCCTTGGAGTGGATGGGCTGGAATGCCTTGTTACGGAATGCCTTGTTACGGATTGCCTTGTTACGGATTGCCTTGTTACGGATTGCCTTGTTACGGATTGCCTTGTTACGGATTGCCTTGTTACGGATTGCCTTGGCGTCGAGTGCTTTGAGCACCTTAGTGACCACCATGTTGATTGCGAACTTGCCCCCTGTGCCCCCCCACCCGTCCACCATCTGCCAGGCATCGCACCACAAACACACACATTCACACGAAGAAATGAGTTCTGAGAAGTAGTCAGGGAAAGGAAAAGAGCATGATGAGAGGAGGCATTTGCCCAAATGCAGTCAGTCACTTTCTGTCTTTCTTTCTTTCTTTCTTTCTTTCTTTCTTTCTTTCTTTCTTTCTTTCTTTCTTTCTTTCTTTCTTTCTTTCTTTCTTTCTTTCTTTCTTTCTTTCTTTCTTTCTTTCTTTCTTTCTTTCTTTCTTTCTTTCTTTCTGTCTTTCTGTCTTTCTTTCTGTCTTTCTTTCTTTCTGTCTTTCTGTCTTTCTTTCTGTCTTTCTTTCTTTCTTTCTTTCTTTCTGTCTTTCTTTCTTTCTTTCTGTCTTTCTTTCTTTCTTTCTTTCTTTCTTTCTTTCTTTCTTTCTTTCTTTCTTTCTGTCTTTCTTTCTTTCTTTCTTTCTTTCTTTCTTTCTTTCTTTCTTTCTTTCTTTCTTTCTTTCTTTCTTTCTTTCTTTCTTTCTTTCTTTCTTTCTTTCTTTCTTTCTTTCTTTCTTTCTTTCTTTCTTTCTTTCTTTCTTTCTTTCTTTCTTTCTTTCTGTCTTTCTTTCTTTCTTTCTGTCTTTCTTTCTTTCTTTCTTTCTTCCTGAATGCAAGCACAGCGCTGTCCAAAGAGTGGTCACAAATGAAGACGAATAAGTGAAGAACAGCAACCACGGTTCTTACAAAGAAGTAGGTGGTGCCCTTAGCGAGAATAAGGCCTGAGAGCTTGGACTTGGTGCCACAGGAGTCGTCATTGCATGCGATGGATGCCGGCTTGCCTGACGGCTTGGTACGCTCATATGCGCTCAGGACCGAGTCAAACTCAGTGAGACTGCACAGGTCCACTGACACGACCTGTGATGGTGGGGTAGCGGAAGGAAGGACGAGGAAGAGTAGGTGTCAAGGAGAGAGAATGCGTTTAGCTGCTGGCTAGGTGCGCTCATCCTCCCTCCAGCAGGGGCGTTTGAGGTGCACAGGTGAATGGCATGAGTGGTTTGTGATTACAAGTGACGCATTCATGGTTATACGCAAGGAGCTGTCTGGCAGGTGCCATGGCTCATGTGCATGGCTCATGTGCATCTGCACGGCTCATATGACAGTTACTGTGCAGCTCACGGTGCTGTCAGGCATGTGCACGCCTCACTCACTCACCATGTTCTGGGGTGGGGTGTATTGAAAAACAACATCGGGCCCCGTGTCATGGCACTTGTCGAGCTTGGCGTTGTACAGATCACGGTAGTGTGTGCTGTCATCCTCGTAGTAAAAGGGCAGCGATGGCACCACCTTGGGCTTCTCCACGCTCTGCCCACACGGCGCCTTGCACACATCTGCACGGGTGTCAGGGCGTGGGAGGGCGAATTGCAGGAATAAGCGGGTGGATGTATGGGGAGCAAGAGTGGGTGGGTGAAGGGTAGTGTGGCTGACCTGTCAAGCAGTGCATGCTGTCGCTCTCGTACTGGAAGGGCAGTGTCGTCGGTGTGAGAGGGTTGAGGTACAGGTGCAGGGATGGGAGGGTGGGTGTGGGGAGTGCACACATCTGCCCAAAGATGCATCCTGAGGCGTTCCAACCCTCCCTGCCACCCAAGCTTCCCACCACCCCCGTGCTCCCCTCCCCTCCCCAGCAGCACGCACCTTTGTCGAGCGCCACAGCGTACCCCTCCAGGGACGCCCCAAAGGCGAGTTCTGAGGCGTTCCAATATCCACCCGCCCATCTCCCCCCCCCACCCTCCTTCTCACCACATCCGTGCTCCCCTGTTCAGCACGCACCTTTGTCGAGCGCCACAGCGTATCCCTCCAGGGACGCCCCAAAGGCGGAGTCCTTGCTGGTGAAGGTGAAAGCCAGCAGCGTGGCTCGATCCAGGTACTCTGCAGGGGTTGGGAGTGGTGACAGAAGGTGAAGGTTTAGGAAGGTAGAAGGTGAAGGCCAGCAGTGTGGCTCGATCCAGGTACTCTGCAGGGCGGGGTGCAGCACGGCGGAATGGTGGCGAGTGGTGGTGGTGAAGGAATAGGAAGGGAGGAAGTAGAGACATAGTCGGGAAGAGGAGAAGAAGAGGGGAAAGAATGGCAGGGAGGACAAGGAACAGGAGGAGGCGAAAGTGCAGGAGGATGCAGAAAACACGATAATACGGTTGATTGTAGACAGAGCAGAGAGAACAAGATAGAAAACCAAGTTGACAAGAAGGCATAAGATAAGAAAGTCACGCAACTACAAAATCTAGTCAGCCGTGTGAACTACCAAAGGGCTAGTCTTACTTGACGAGTAGGCGAGTCAGGCTTACTGGGCGAGTAGGTGAGTTGGATGGTGATGTACTGTGCTGCTGGCGTGCGGCGAGCAGGAAAGGTGAGGCGCGAGGGCGAGAAGGACGCTGATGGGGGTACACAACGCACAAAGAATAGAGGTCCGTATCGGACACCGGGCGGTGGAAGGAGAAACGAGGGAGAGTTGAGAACAGCATGGCTGGTGAGGAAGAGGTAGGTCGATGAGAAGAGAATACATACACGGCTCATTCCATTCAGAACCCGCCAATAAGTGTATCCATGTCGAGCGGGGCCAGTTCGAACCATCACTGTGACTCAACCAACACTAGGATCCGCAGCCACAGCTGTGAAGACCACATCGGCAGCACCTAGACAATGCGCTTTGACCAGCAGCACCTTGATGCGAGCAGTGGCGCCCACGGCATGGAGAGGAATGAGTCTGGGCTTCACACATCGTCTAACTCCATCCACTGCTACCAGCAGACCAGTATGATATGAGCAATGCCATCTTGTCGAACCACTCCGACTCACCAACACTGGTATCAGCGGCAGTAGCCGTGAACACCACGTCAGCAGCAGGTGCCTTGAGCAGCACCACCTTGATGCGTGCACTTGCGCCCTCAGGCATGGAGAGGAAGGAGCGGGGAGCCACGTCCACGAGCAGGGGGCGGAAGTTGACGGACAGCAGGCGCGGCACTGTGCTGGGCTTCACTGCCTGCACCGCATTCTGGAAAGCTGTGTCATAGAGGGCCTTGCGCACGTCCCTGGGGCGCGCTGCTGGCTGCATGGACAGGTATAGAGCTGCTGCTCCTGACTGCCAGGGAGAAAATGAAGTTGGGGGATGGAGAGGAGAGGATTGTGCGGTGCTGGAATATCCAGGGTTCACAGTCCGAGGGAAAAATTGTTGTGCTGCTTTACAGGGTGGTTTGCACATGCTCTACGCACACATGCTCGTGTCATGCCATGCTATGCCTGCAGGTACACATACCACATGTGGGCATGCCATGGAAGTCCCTGACATGGTTGCCATTGCAGTATCTGATGCCGACCCCGCACTCACTATCTCATCGCCCTGCACAGACACATGCATGGGCAGGCACAAACACACATGCACATGCAAACAGGGATGCACTTCTAAAGACATCAGAACACAGCAGCACAAGTCCACCCGGCAAGGCAAAGACATCAGAACACAGCTATATGTCGGTGCAAGAATCATATTTCGCCTGGGCCTACCGGAGCGAAGATGTCGGTGCAGGAGCCGTAGTTGGAGAACCAGCTCATGGTATCAGAGCAAGGGTGGGGGGGGGACTGACCAGGGTGTAGGCACTGCATCATACAGTTGAGGAAAAAGGGCTCACCGGAGCGAATATGTCGGTGCAGGAGCCGTAGTTGGAGAACCAGCTCATGGTATCAGAGCTGGTGCTGGATGCCACTGCGATGACGTCATCACTGTCTGCTGGCGAGTAGTTGCACGCGAGCGAGAAGAAGTTTCCTGCCGCTGCCACCTGGGAAGCGAGAGAGAACGAGGGAGAAGGAAACCACTGAACTTAGACCCACAGGGCTGTAGTCACACTCAACTCGTGAAGCATAAGCACCACAACCCACTCACAACAGCGCCACCCCCCACCTCCCACAATGATCCCCCATCCTCCATAACCCGAAGATCACTAGCCCTTCCAGCGTAGCATCAAGGTTGGCGGAGGAGAGGAGAGGACCACCTTGATACCCCTCCACGCACCACAATGATCCCTGCCTTCTCCACCAGCTCTTTCAGTGCCGCGTCAAGACTAGTGGAGGTGGCCATGGTGATGGACATGGACACCACTGCCGGCGCCTGCAGCACTCAACACTGGGAGCCCCACTTACTCACACGTACCACAGTAATTCCTGTCTTCTCCACGAGTTCTTTGAGAGCGGCGTCAAGGCTAGCACTCGTGGCCATGGTGATAGACATGGACACCACTGCCGGCGCCTGCAGCCACCGCACTCACCGCAACTGCAATCACCCCAGCACAATCACCACCCATCCCCCCCACGCACCACAGTGATCCCCGTCTTCTCCACAAGCTCTTTCAGTGCCGCATCAAGACTAGCACTGGTGGCCATGGTGATGCTCATGGACACCACAGCGGGCGCTGCACTCTCTGGCAATCCCCTAACCACCACAGTGACCACCCTCCCTCCACACTCACCACAGTAATCCCCGTCTTCTCCACCAGTTCTTTGAGAGCGGCGTCAAGGCTGGCACTGGTGGCCATGGTGATGCTCATGGACACCACAGCGGGCGCCTGGTAGTGGCGGGCGATCCAGTCCAGCCCCTCCAGGATATCCCCAAAGGCACCGTTGCCCGCACAGTCCATGGTGCGCACTGGGTGGATGAAGGCGCTCTTGGCTACTCCGCTTAGCAGCCCTGCTACCGTGCCTGTGGGAGAGGGAGCAAGCAAGCAGGGAGGGGAGTGGGATGTTCCTAAACGCCCCGTTGCCCGCACAGTCCATGGTGCGCACTGGGTGGATGAAGGCGCTCTTCGCCACGCCGCTTATTAAGCCTGCTACAGTGCGTGGAATAGGGAGGAGGGCAAAGGAAGAGGAGTAGCAGGGAGGGAGTGGGATGTCCCTAAACCACATGTTGCCGCACAGTCCATGGTGCGCACCGGGTGGATGAAGGCACTCTTTACCGCTCTGCAGCCCTTCTACAGTGCCTGTGACAGGGCACAGTGTTACCCCCTCACTGCACTGTACTGCACTGCTCCCTGGTGTTTCCGAGTGTTCCCCACTGCACTGCACTGCACTGCACTGCACTGCACTGCACTGTCCTTCACAGCCTACCAGCGCAGTGCGTGCCGTGGCCGTTGCAGTCCGCCATGCCCTGCCCACGCCCATCGCCCACCGTGTCCACTCCAGGCAGGCACCGCGACGCGGGGCGGCGCGTGGTCGGGTTGAGCCGGCCGTCTGAGAAATAAAAGTCGCTGTGGGAGCACCGCACGCCCTGCAGGGGGGCGGACAAGGGGAAAGAGGGGACAGGGGGGACGTGGAAAACCGGGAAAATGGGGTATCAGGGAAGGTTGAGTCGGCCGTCTGAGAAGTAAATGTCGCTGTGGGAGCACCGCACAACCTGCAGGAAGGTAAGACAGTGGGGACGTGGGGGACAGAGGGAGGAGAACGGGAACACGGGAGGGAAAAATGGAGGAAGAGGTCAACGAAGGGGAAAACACGAGAAAGGGGGAACGGGAGGAAAGAAAAGTGGAAAAATCAAGACGAGAGAGGTGAAAGGAAGAGAGGTGAGGTAGACATACAAAAGCTACTTCACACCCCAATAACCCAGACCCCACCACTCCAGACCCCACAACAAGGAAGGATCAAGCACTAGGCCTGCCTGCCATGCCAAGCCAACCCACCGTGTCCACCACATAGATGTGCACGCCTGCGCCAGCAGAGGCCGGGTAGGAGTAGGCGCCATCCAGGGGAGGCGCGCCTAGTTTTGAGGTGCCTCACAACAAGGACCAATGACTAGCCTGCCTGCCAAGTCAACCCACCGTGTCCACCACATAGACGTGCACGCCTGCGCCAGCAGAGGCCGGGTAGGAGTAGGTGCCATCCAGGGGAGGCGCGCCTGGGCGCTGGTCTATGCGGTCCAGCCCCCATGACAGGGGCTTGCGCTGGAGAGATGAGTTAGTGGGAGCAAGAAGGTAAAGGCAGGAGATTGGAAGGAGGAGGAGGGCGAGAGACGGTGGAAGGAGAGAAGAGAGACTGTGCAAACATATAAATGAATGTGATACGCTTTGAGTAGTCCAAGTGGAGTATGCAGGAAGCAAGAGATGGTGTGCCCTGTTGTTCCTTCCTTTCTATTCAGACCTGTGTGCGCATGACCAGAGATGCAGAGGCCAGGACAGCGGAACTGTTAGAAGGTGACCCATCTAGATCACCACCAGACGCATCCGGAGCATCAGCCGCATCTCCAGCATCAGCAGCAGCGGCGCCGGCGGCAGCGGTGGTGGTGGCAGCACGAGCAGCAGCAGCAGCAGCAGCAGTGGCGGCGGCGGCGGCGTTGGCGGCGGCAGCAACACGAGAAGCAGGAGCAGGAGCAGAGGCGATGAGGGCATGGCCCTCGACCTCAACGAATTGCAAGAGAGCAGACTCGGCGTCCAGCAGAGCCAGCAGCGACTGGCCTGATATGCTCATCAGCATGCCGTTGTACAACGCCTTGAAGCTGTCGGGTGAGGGGGGGGTGGAGAGAGGGGAGTAAGAGATGGAATGTCATGTGAGTGAACAGCAGCAGCAGCGACTGGCCTGATATGCTCATCAGCATGCCGTTGAACAACGCCTTGAAGCTGGTGATGGGAAGAGCAGGAGGAACGGGGGGGCATGTGAGGGGTGAGGGATGGGACAGCATAGGACAGCAGGGCGAGCAGCGACTGGCCTGATATGCTCATCAGCATGCCGTTGAATAGCACCTTGAAACTTGCGAAGAGAGGGGTAGGGGGGAGGATGGAAGGGCATGTGAAGGGTAAGAGATGAGATGTGATGACACTTGAAAAACGAAAAAGAAGGAGTCTTGCTACCGTTTTTAGTAGAAAAGGAATGCACCGTATGAGGCATGTGCCTGCCACGCACCGTTTGAGGCATGTGCCTGTATAGAGCGTGCTGTTGTTACTCTCTGCCAGGTCGCATATCTCGTCCACCCGGCTCGCTGGTACATCCGGCCGCAGCTTCACCAGGTAGCTGGCAAGGGGACGACAGGTATGGGGAGAGGAGGTTGCATGGCACACAGGACGCAGAAATGGAATCAGTCCAATGCATGACTGTGGGCGATTTAAATCAGGCGAGAACTTGGGAAGAGGCAAAAAAATTGAGTCAGCAAGATGGCAACAGTTTCCAGTGGCAGTGGTGACAAGCAGAGGCATCAGCAGGAGTAAGTAACCTGTGAGTTGTGACGTGGCAGGGACAAGTTTGCCTTTCCGCTGCTTCTCCCACATCATCCAAAGGTCGACCAGCAGGCAAGGCCTGGCCACGGTGTACTGTCACGGTCTCTTATCATGGACAAGTCCGTATGATTTCATCCACTTCCGCACCCATGGAGGGACTGGTCTCCATAACCATGGGTTGACTGGAACTCACTTCTGCGCCGATGGCACTTCATGCAACGACGCTATGCCGGCCGTCGCGTTGCCCACTTGCAGTCCGCAGTTGTACAGCACCGCGCGGCCCTTGCCTGTGTTGCACGCTGCGTACCGAGCCTGACCCGGACCTCGGATTGCGGTTCGGAGAGGAGGCGGGAGGCTCCATGCCGGACGTGCCAGCAGCACGGAAAGGAGCACGGTCAGGCACGGCAGGACGTGAGGGATCCGTGGGAGAACCATCGCTGCCTTGGCCTAAGAATGCTTATTCTCCTCACGTAGTGATCCAAGCTTGCCAGTTTCGTTCCGCTAAAACGAGTATAGATTGAACCGGCACGCTCTGAGTTGGAAAACGGAAACCACGTGTGTGCGTTCGAGAATAAGCAGCGCACGGCTTGCGAGGTAGCAAGGGAAGTGTGCTGATGCTTATCAGGCGGGTCCTACGAAGATAGCTTGCATTACTACGGTGCGGACAATCAGATACGATCGGCTCGCCGACAAAAACACATTGAAGACCCGACGCGCTTCGTAAAGGACGAAGCGCCATCGCGCGTTCCTGAATGACCGTTCCCCTCTGGTACAGACTCAGGCGAGTGGCGAGTGATGCTACTGGCATAGTATCTGGTGACGACGACGGCAGCCCGAGCGACGGCAGCCCGAGCGACGCTAGACTGAACGATGGTATCCCGAGCGACGGTATCCCGAGCGACGGTATCCCGAGCGATGGTAGCCGAGCAATAATAGCACGGTCTAGCGCAGCGAAGTGGGACATCGAATAAAGACGCTAGTGGAGCTTCGAAATGGAAAGGAAATTCGGGAACTTCGAGGGATGAAAGTGGCGGCAATTGAGCTCGGTTCGGCTTGCCTCGAGCAGTGCAGAGCGCGCGGCACAGGGAAGGTGTTACGAGTGCAATTGAGCGAGCGAGCGAGAATCACTATCGAAGCAAAACAATACAATGAGCGAAGGCATGCGCGAAGAATATATAGCTAACTAGAGTGGTAACTGTAACGCGAGGAATTGGGGTGCGCTACGGGCCTAGCGCCGAGGTTGGGATATGTCGAGGCGGAGGTCCGGAGCGCGAGTTACCAACCGAACCGTGAGGTTGAGTCGCGTCGTGAACAGTGGCGGGAGTCGTAGTCGATGCGAGTGTCGCGAGCGGGTAACGTTTCATTGTTTGGGTGCCGATGGCGCGAATGGTCTTGTACGCGGTAAGCAAGGGTGCGAAGTAAGGAAAGGGAATTTTCCTTACACTACCCCCCTCCCCAAGGAGGCCCTCCTTACGAGAGTGCGTGTACATCTCGAAAATTTCGACTGCGCAGATACTCAATGAGGACAGGATGATTTTCAATTATATCCAGGGGGACCCAGTTGTCTTCAGTGGGCGTGCGGTCTTTCCAGCGGATCAGGAATTCGATCATGCGGGCTCCTCGTGGGTCACGTACTCGGTGGCTCAGTATTTTTTCAGGCGTGATGATTGGTTCTGTCGGCGGTCGTGTCATGCTGGCGGGGCGGTTGCGAGGCAGTTGGCTGGTGAATGGCACGTATGGGCGAAGCACGCTGACGTGGAAGGACGGGCTGACGTACCAGTCAGCAGGGAGGAGGAGGTGGGCGGTGACGGGTGTGATCATGTGGCTGATGCGAAATGGCCTGCAATATCGGGGGCGGAGTTTTGGGGTGATGGGCAGGCGGAGGTTTTGAGTATCGAGTGTCAAAATCAAGAAGTGTAATAAGTAAAGCCAAGGTTTAAGTGAGGGCCTAGGCTTAGTAGCCTAGGCCAAGGGAGTCGAGGTAGTTTGTGCCAAGGAGGGAGAATCGAGAATGTGTGTTCACTATAGCACTAGGGTACATATAGCAAACAAAGAGGTGCACCACCTATAAAGTTAATATCTACACTACAGCTAGAACTACATGCAGGTATAAGAATATAATTATGACATCCCCCCGTAACTGCATGCAGGAATAGCTAAGTGCAGAACACAACCTGCAGGGGTACACCACAGATAGAGAAAACAGCAACAGCAGGCAAGGTAACAGATGCAAGTTCACAAAATAAAGACAAGTGGCAGTACTAGAGGGGCAGTGAGGAGGAGGAGTTGGGAGGCGGCAGGTGAGGCTGCTGGCTTCACGGCGGCTGCCTCCTGGAACCTCCCCCATGCTCCCAAACCCCCTCTGCACACTCCTCAACGTCCCTAGTGCCACTCCCCCGGCTCCCCACACCCTCACACCCTCCCCCCCCCAGCGGCAGCTGCAGCAGTGGGAGAGAAAGGAGGAGGAGGGGAAGGGGATCACAGACACCCATCACCCCCATACCCGCCACCTCCATACCCTCCCCCCCACGGCTGCACGCGCAGCAGGGAGACGAAGGAGGGGGGGGGGGGGGGGGGGGGGAGGGGGGGTGGCGGGGAAGAAGCCGCCCCACGGCCACAGAGGGGTGGCGCACAGGGAAGGGCAGGGGCGGCTGCACCGAGGGCAGGCGCGGGTAGGGCAGGGGCGGCTGCACCGAGTGCAGGCGCATGTGAGGCAGGGGCGGCTGCTCCGAGGGCAGGCGCGGGTGAGGCAGGGGCGGCTGCTCCGAGGGCAGACGCGGGTGAGTCAGGGGCGGCTGCTCGAAGGCAGGCGCGAGGTGAGGCAGAGGCGCCGTCGCGGGCGCCAGGGGCGGGTCCGCAGCGGCGCAGGGCACCGTCGCGGGCGCCAGGGGCGGGTCCGCGGCGGCTCTGGCCACCGTCACGGGCGCCAAGGGCGGGTCCGCGGCGGCTCAGGGAACCGTCGCGGGCGCCAGGGGCGGGTCCGCGGCGGCTCAGGGCACCGTCGCGAGCGCCAGGGGCAGTTCCGCGGCGGCGCAAGGCACCGTCGCGGGCGCCAGGGGCGGGTCCGCGGCGGCTCAGGGCACCGTCGCGGGCGCCAGGGGCGGGTCCGCGGCGGCTCAGGGCACCGCCACGGGCGCCAGGGGCGGGTCCGCGGCGGCTCAGGGCACCGTCGCGGGCGCCAGGGGCGGGTCCGCGACGGGCAGAAAAAACGTCACCCGGGCGCGGGACAGAGCGAAAATCGCCACGCGCCCGAGGCGCGCGACCGGAAAAACAGCGGCGGAAGCGTGAGGCTGCCCACAGGCCAGGACTTAACAGGCTCTAATACCATGTCAAAATCAAGAAGTGTAAGTAAAGCCAAGGTTTAAGTGAGGGCCTAGGCTTAGTAGCCTAGGCCAAGGGAGTCGAGGTAGTTTGTGCCAAGGAGGGAGAGTCGAGAATGTGTGTTCACTATAGCACTAGGGTACATATAGCAAACAAAGAGGTGCACCACCTATAAAGTTAATATCTACACTACAGCTAGAACTACATGCAGGTATAAGAATATAATTCTGACATCGAGTAGCACGAGGTCGTCGGCCTGGTAAGTGACGGGTCGGCGGTGGCGGTCGGCGTTACGCTTAGCGATTATGTTCGATTTTTTATTGCGTCTGCTGCTCGGGTCCGTGCTGCTTGTAAAATTTCTGCGAACTGTTGCGCGCGTGGCACCGGTTTGTCGGGATTCGGAGTCATGGATACTGTGGGGTCTTGTCCGTAGTTCAGGTAAAACGGTGACTGTTGGGTCGTGGCGGATGGCGAGTTGTTGTATGCGAACTCGAGGAGTGGCAGTTGCTGTTCCCAGGTGGTCAGGTCGTCGCACGTGGCTCGGATGAGTTACTCCATGGTCTGGTTCGTCTGTCCTGTCTGTCCGTCGGTTTCGGGGTGGTATGAAGAACTGAACTATAGTCGCGTGCCGAACAGCTACCACAGGTTCCGCCAGAAGTTGCTGATGAACTTCGTATCGCGGTCGCTGATGATCGATGCTGGTATCCTGTGTAGTCGAACGACGGTGAAGAGGCGGGTTGTTTCTTCGGCTGTGATTGATTTTTTGCAGGCTGCGAAAAGTGCCATTTTCGTCAGCCGATCGACGACGACCAGGATCGCGTCGTTCCCACTTGCTCCAGCCAGTAACCCCGTGACGAAGTCCATCGTCACCTGCTGCCAAGCACGCTCTGGGGGTGGTATCGGCTGCAAATGCCTTGCCGTCGTTTCCGTGATGACTTCATGAGTAGGCAGGTGGGACACAATGCCACGTGTCGTTGCACGTCGGTCAGCATTTCGGGCCAGTAGTAATACCGCTGCAGTTGGCGCCGTGTTTTCTCTGTCAGAATATGTTATATTTGTCTAGCCTGCAGTGGGGTACTCAATAGTGAGTACAGCCCAATCTAGGGTTTCCTATATGTACTCAACTGCTTGCTAGTGAAAACCCCTCTTTCTTGTTTCTAACTTTCTACTACTGTTTCCAACATGGAATCAGAGCAGGTCGACCCTCACGGGTCGATCCTGTGGATGGGCCCACCCAATACTTCCCCTGCTGCTGCTCTGCCTAACGCGCGCCTCGAGCGCGCGCTGTCTGCCTGCCTGCCGCGCGCCCATGGCACGCGGCCTTTTTTCTTCCCGCCGCGCGCTCGAGGCGCGCGGCGGTTTTCTGACCGTCGGCCGCCCCGTGGCGCGCGGCGGTGCCCTGCCCCGGCCTCGCCCCGGCCCTGCCCCGTCGTCCGTCGCGGCCCCGTCGCGGCCCTGCCCCGTCGCCTGTCGCGGCCCCGTCACCTGTCGCGGCCCCGTCGCGGCCTCGCCCCGGCCCTGCCCCGTCACCTGTCGCGGCCCTGTCGCGGCCTCGCCCCGGCCCTGCCCCGTCGCTCGTCGCGGCCCCGTCGCGGCCCCGCCCCGGCCCTGCCCCGTCGCCTGTCGCGGCCCCGTCGCGGCCTCGCCCCGGCCCCTCCCGTCTTCGTCGCGGCCCTGCCCCCCCCCCCCCCCCCCCGTAACCTCCCTACCCGCCATCCTGCCCTGCCCTGTGTTAGGGTTTGGGGGTGGCGAGTAGGGGGTGGCGGGTGTGTGGCCTCCCCTGCTCCTCCTCCTCCTCCGTCTCCCACTGCTGCAGCTGCCGCTGAGGGGGGTGGGTGTGTGGGAGCCGACGGAGTAGTGCTAGGGGGTGGAGTGTGAGTGAACCTAGGGGTGCAGCAGGGGGTGTGTGAAAGGGGGGTGGGACAGTTTGGGGAGGTTGAAGGGGGGTGGCCGCCGTGAAGCCCGCAGCTCCAGTCGCCCGTGAGACCGTCGCGCCAGTCGCCCGTGAGCCCGTTGCTCCACTTGCCCGTGAGCCCGTTGCTCCAGTCGCCCGTGGGTCCGTTGCTCCTGCCGCTCAGAGTTAGCCGCGGAGCCAGTTACTCCAGTTGCCCGTG